GTCAAATCGCCCCCTGGGGTGGGTAGGCAATTTGTCCGACAAGACCCCTGAAAGTAGGCAACCCACAGCAAATCGTCCGTCAAACGGACTTAAAACCGCGCCTGCTGCTCCGGGCCATGGGCACGACACGAGATCGTGGACACGGTGAAAAATAGATGCACGTGTTCACGGTCACGTGTCACGGACTATCGTCACTCATGTCGGCAGCACTTAGGCCCTCCTACGAATTGCCCTGGAGACGAAGACGGTAGTGAGCACATGTGTGCGACACAACAACAACAGCGGAGAGACCAGAGGATCCGGCGGAAAAGAAACACACCTTTCGGGCTTCTGATGAGGCCATGGCAGCCAGGACGGAGATGTAGTTGGTGATAATCCAAGTTGTTCAATAATTGTGATTCACACGCGTAACGGAACGATAGTGTTGTGTTACTTGTCCGTTCTCCACGCGTCGTCCCCTGCCGACTGACAGCTCGTGCGCTGGGCCAGCTGGGCGAGCCGCGGCTGAGCGAGCGCTCTCTCTAGCACAGTCACTATCCGTCTCTCTCACTCTTGCGACCGCCGCGCTGTCGTTTGCTGACTGGCCGCGGCCGGCGCGAGAGAGCGGGGGGTTTTAAAAGAATAGTTCGTCGAGCGACATCAAGCCGCGGCACACACAACAAGGCGTAGGGCACACAACGACTATGAAGTGTTTCAAGGAGGAAAAAACGGGAAATCTGGGATCTCTCGAGAGATCGGTCCCCCTTTTGCTTTCCATCCGCCTATAATACACATCCATTACGTACATATGTACACGATACCAACCCAATGCCCGGAGGCGAGGGCGGACCGGGGCGGACCAGCCGGGCCAGACGGAGTAGTATGAAAGCAGGACATTCCGGGTAACGGCGCGGGCGTGGCCTCCCCCGTCGAGAGCCCGCCCCTCTCAGCCCTCGCAGCTCGCGCCAGGACGGGGGAAAGCAGGCACGGCACGAAGGCCGGGACATTCCGCTCACCGAAAATCGAAACAGAAAAGACATTAAAGCGGTCGTGATTTATTTGGGTCGCTTTGTCGCCGCTGTTCCGGCGGGGCCGCCCCGAACATGGACGGGCGCGCTCCAGCTCACCCACCTCCACCCCCACACCTCCAGCTTCACCCCCATCCCCTGCACCTCCAGCGCCAGCTCACCCACCTCCACCCCCACACCCCCACCACCACCTCCATCTCCCGTACCTCAACCTTTAGCTCCAGCTCCACCGCCAACTCCAACCCACGCACCGCCAGCTTCCATACACCTCCATCTCCACCACCTCCACCTCCAGACCCGCCCAGCCTTCGCCTTCACCACGCCACGCCACTCCCTGTCTCGACTTTCCCCATCCGAACAGTAATGAACCCTCGTTTTTCGTTGAGTGAATTGAGTGAATACACTCTGACCAGCCAAAGAATGCTCCTGGGCCTTATGTAGTCGCCCATAAGAGCCCATGCATTTCCAGAAGCATTCTTTCGCTGGTTCGACTGTAACATGATAAAGCATTCAGGTAAAGCTGAAATGCAAAAGAATGCATGGAACAAGAAAACGGAAGTCACCATGTTATAGCATGGCGATTTCCGTTTCCTTCTTTCCCGCATTCTTCTGCATTTCAGCTTTACCGGAATGCCTTATTCCGCGTGACGAAAAGTAGTTTCTCTTTGTACCAAACGGTTCGTGCCTCGCGCCCTCTGCCTCTGCGCCTTTGCGCCGAGATCATGCAGCCAATCGCAAGCCACGTCTCACACGACTCACATCCAAAAGAAAGAAGAAGAAAAAAACGTGGGCAGTATCCAAAAGACAGGAAGCTGAGCCGTCTTGTCTTATCAATACTAGCCGACAACATAACCTTATTCCGAGAACTTATTCAACTTTAAAACTACAGTTCAACCTACAGTGAGTTTCTGTACTACTCGTGCTGGAGACGTTTTCGACGGCTCATCATTGCATCTTACTCGCGGTACGCAGACCTGTGGAAAGGTAGGTCCAGTAGTTTACTTTAGTGGTTATGAAGCAGTTGAGGTTAACTTCATCTTAAGAGTTTCAATCTTGCGTTCCTCGATTTAATTACGGTATATTTTCATTGTCATGACACTCTGTTTTGTTTGTGTTGTAGATGAATTTAAAGTGTGACAATTGTATCCACAATTTGGACTTCGAATCCCACCGCCCTAAATGCATACCCTGTGGGCATACAATTTGTAAGGAATGTGTTGAAAATCCTGCCTTGGGGAGGAAGTGTCCAACTTGCAGGATGGTCAGTACGTTCAACATATCTTGTGGCTTGATATCCATTATTTGGGAGTGGATATTTGCACGACTTGTGCACACAAGCTGTGTGCCTTTTTTTTCCAATTTTAATTCAATTAATATCCACCACCACCACCACTCTCACGTTATTTGTTTTCTTCTACCTGGTTTAGGAATTTAAGCGCCGGCCTGAGGACCTACCCGACAACGGCCTAGCCTTGAGAGTCCTAGCCGTCCAATCGTTGGAGAATGATGGTGCACCACCCTGCAAGAAGCCTAAGATCGAGGACCCAGACTTGGAGCAGCTACAGCGGGGCGCGGCCGCGGGGAGGAAGGTGGTGGAGATGCTGCGACTGGTGGTGCCTCTAGCAGTCGAGTCGCTGAACCGCCAGCTCGAGTCGTCTGTCGCCCAGCTCGGACAAGTGGAGGAGGCCCTGCAGAGGCGGGTGCAGCGGGAGGCGGCCGGCGATGTGGGCACCGCGTCGGACGGCGTGGAGGAGCCGTTGCAGCTGGCGGAGCAGCTGGAGGCCAGCCACCGCCTGCTCACCTCCACCAAGTGCACCGTTGTTGCCGAAGAGGAGGGTGGCTCCACCTGGACGGCCTCTGTGCAGCCCGGGGGGTGCGGCGACACCTTGCGCCTTCTGCTGCTGCAGCTGCGGGCTGATGGGCTACTGGGCAAGGTGAGTCACCACTCAGATGGAAAGAACTTATATGGACGGTGACAAGATGTTCAGCCGCTCTCTGACCCCTCTAGGTTCACGACGACGTCGACATCATCGCTCCTGTCACCCCGGCTTACGTGGGGCCGCCTCTCATCTCCGTTCTAACGATAACTGATCAACACCTCGAGAATGGTCGTCTAAAAGTGAATGACATTCTTCGTGACATCCCGCAGAAATGGACCATCCCTCGCAGCCTGAAGTACTTACAGGGTGACGGCTCTGAGGACCTACTGAGGGTCATGGGGCCGTACCTCGAGGAGCTGGAGGTCTCGGGTGAGGTTCAGCCCAGCGTCATGGAGGAGGTGCAGAACATGTCGGGACTCAGAAGACTGAAAGTTCAATGCGCTAAAAACGTGGACTACCCGGACCTTCCGTTACAGCTGGAGGAGCTGCAGCATACCCAAATCACTGAGAATCAGCTGCGTTGTTTGGAGGACATGCCCAGGCTGCGCAGCTTGTGCGTGTACAATTACCATGGTCCAAATCTGACCTTCCCTCCCTCGCAGCACGGCAGGCTGCTGTGGCTCAGCGTGTGCTTCGATACTGAGCACAAGTCTACCATGCTCTCTCTGATTCGCGCCTATGCCTCGTCGGTACAAGAGCTCCGTGTGTACTGTACCTTCTCTGAGAACCAGAACTTTTACTACCCCGACCTGGGCCAGGAGCTAGCGGCGTGCGGTCTGCGGGTGCTGCGGCGGCTCGTCCTTGTACGCTCGCCTTCTCTGAATCCCTGCAGAGACCAGGTCGCTGGCTGCATGCTGCAGCGAAGATCTATCGTAGGCGCATTGCCCCCGTCTGTTGATGTGGTTTGCAAGTTGTGCCATAGATCGGATGATGTACTGTAACAATGTCCCATGCGAGCATAATTATCCCCGATTGCCTGCTGTAATAATTTGCCTGTAAATTTTTACATGTTTTGAAAATTCTCATTTCGTTTGTTTTTGTACGCCTGGTTCTTTTTATCTTTTAAATAAATATAGAGGAATTCTGTTGTATTCTCTTCGGCTCAATACGCTCACGCAGGCGTGGGCCACGCTCAATTGAGCGCAAGTTCTTCATTTTCCGACTTTCTTCTGGTAGAGACAGCCGTGTGTTGGGGCGCGACGCCTACCAGCCTCATTCACTCACTCACCCAACTTTCCCCCAATAGCCATTAATTTCAATTGCTGGTCTAGCTTGGTTCTCTTTTTTCTGAATTTTCCCTATTAAGAGTTATAAAACCGGTTGACACCTTAACATGATTTCTGTATGTTTATGTCTAGTGTATCATCTGCCAAAACCAATCAGACATATGATTATTTTTCCAGTGCGGCCTCGTATGCAGCCGCTCGTGCGCACACGCCGGAAGCGCTGGGAGGCGGCTGCGCTGCTGTACCGGCCAAGTCGCCCGCCAACTTAGTCGGCGGCAGAAACTAAATAACTTTGTGCGGCCGGCCGATAACTCGCACGCCCCGCCCGGCCCGCTGCTCGCGGCGGAGAAGAACGAGAGCCCCCGAGCACTTGATGCGCGCCGCGCTTGTGCGCTGTGTTTCGGCCAACTACACACACGTTATCCGTTCGGCTACAGTAACAATAGTTATTCCCCATAAAGACCTTATTTTTAAAGTTGTTTGTCGTTGGGGGAAGAACTCTATATCCGATTTCGTTGGTGGGGTGGATGACAACGAATGCCGGGCGGATTGGGTCGGTCTATCGGGATTGGGACACGGGGAAATCGGTGTTTAAAAGAAGAGAGATAGGGGGAGGGCGGGGGGCAGTAGTCGGACAGCCCTTTCGCACCCTATCCTCGTCCGGCCGGCCCCGACGCCCGCCCTCCACTCACATTCCATTCCTCCCCGTGGAGCAGTTATTTGAACCCATAACTCAGATGGACTGCTGCTGCATCACGAGTTGCCTACCCCGTCCGCCCTCTAATGTTCACCGCTCCGGACGTATTTTCTCCCCCCCCCCCTCTCTCTCGCTCTCTCTCTCTCTGTCTCCCTCTCTCTATGTCTCCTTCCCCCTGACTAAGTGCCGAGAGTAGGGTAAGGAGGAAGAAGGAAGCGAATACTGTAGACACCGCGCCATTTCTTGGGAGTCGTCGGGACAGAGTACGGGAAGTACTTTCCCGAGTGACTTTGATAGGGAGGACAAACACAGCGTACGAGCAGCAACCCTGCCATGAGTCTCGGGCTGTAATCTGATGGCTGCAGAGAGGAGGGGTGGGCGTAAGGGAGGGGAGTAAGAGAGAAATGCTGGGGGGGGGACAGCGTCGTGCTCCCGCACGAGTTCTACACGGTGTTCCACACTAATTGAAATCGCTGCCTGCAGTGTGCGGCGTGGGAGAGCTCGCGGGGAGCGGCGCACTGGGCCGCTGACAACACGTGTATGACAAGGAGGATGCGGTTGCCGACGACGTCGCTCGCGGTCGAAAGCGGGATCATCCAGAAAGCACGCCCGTTACGAACCTGCTAAGTTCAGCCCCTGGAAAGCTCTTAAAGCGCCTGGTAGGTAGGCAACATCTTGCCTGCAGTGCATGTGTGTAGTGCGGAGTGGCCTACCTTGAGTCTCGCAGGCGCTAAACTCCCAATTTGGCGAGTGAACCCGAGAAAAAAAGACGTGCTTTCTGTATGCAAGCGGTCGCAAGGGCTTAAGGGCTAACAAGCGGAGCTCGAGCAATGATAGCCAGCAATACGGGGTCGAAGAAGTGGAAACTTGATAATCCTCCTCTGCCTCTCGCACAAAGAATCCCGCGACCTATTAACGACGGGGGTAGAAAGCCGTTTGGGCTGCTCTGCTGATGTGGGGGAGCGGGCGCAGCTCCGTTACGTTATGGGATCCGGGTGGAAGGGAGTGGTCTGGTCTGGTCGCACTATGATGAATGGATATCCGATACCGCCCAGGCCAATTTCACACAGGAGGCATGCAGGGTTATTAATTAGAGGGTCGGTGGAGGAGGGTAACATGGGATTCAATCGAAAATTTACAGAATGGGCATGATTAGAAGTGTAAAATTCAAAGTCATAAAAGCTAGCACGTGCATCATTTTCTCTGTAATGATCGCGATTGTTGAATGTTTCCTCTTTGATTAACAGACCTTTTCAGGGAAGGTGATTACAGAGGCAGAATATAAATGAAACGAACCAGAAAAGCACTCTCTCCCAATGCGGCCTTTTGCCCTGCATGCGTCTCTTCATCTCCCGACTGTTTTGGTTCTTCTTTTCTCCTTCTAGTCTCCTAACCTGAAATGGTCTATTAGTTTTCCACGCGCGGCCGGGCCGAAGCCCCCTCCCCCCCTTTTCCCGCGCGTTATTTATTGTCGGCTGCATGAACACCCCCCAGCCCCGGGCCCAGGTAAAAGAGTTAACTACGGCCCAGGGCCAAAGTTATTGGCGGACAAAACTTTGACCAACAGAACAGAGAGGGACTAGCTCTCGGACTCGCTCCGGCTCCGTGCAGCAGGGGATCACGATCGGGACCGCGACCAGCCTGGAGGCGCAGCGCCCACCCAGCGTCCATTTGCTCAATGAAGGACAAGTTTGACTCGTAGAAAAGGGGCAATGTTTCTATACATGACTGACGATTAATCGTAAAAACTTTGTGTCCGAACATGGTAGACACAGTCTCAAAAATCTGGATTACTTATTTTGCCCGATATTTCCCGTTCCAACAATAAAAGAGGGATGTGCATGAAAACGCAGCATTTTGTCTGGGACAAAACCGTCCTTTCACTTTGCGCGAGCAGGTAAACCGCCAGGCTAAAGAATCCCCCTGATGAAGGGAAACTCCGTCCCTCAGCACAATGTGTATAATAACAAGTTCTTCCTCTCTTTCCGGAGCGCCCGAGCTGAGAGAAATATTAAGAGAGCAGGTATATACGCCGTTGATACAACTACAATTTTTCATTTTGTGGGAGGGAAGCTGGTGGGGAGGGGGTGGTGGCGGCGCCGACGGTGTGCCTGGGATGGGGCCTGGGCGGGCCTGGGCCAACGCGGGGGCGGCACAACCCCACGTGTGCGTGAGGAAGGGCGGCGGGGAAGGGGGCGGGCGGTCGGAGGCGTGGCGGCCAGGAGTGAAATTGTGAATTTGGGGCTGCTCCCTGCTCACCTGGGGGAGAGTGGAGAGCCGGCGCGACAAACGCACCGGTCGCGTCACGGTGGGTCACGGTGCGTCGTCACGACGCTTGTCACGCTATACACCGTCACACTAGCACACGGCACTCGAGGCACGCACGCGCGAGGCTGACGCACTCTTTGCTTCCTGCTGGGGGGTGTGCGCGAGCAGGAGCGGCGGCGGCACGGCGGCACGGACGGAGCGGGGGCGGCGCGGCGCGCTGGCAGGGGGCGGCGCAGCGTAGCTCCGCAGGCTCCCGCAGGCTCTGCTTGTGGGCGCGCTGGCGCTGCGCTGGCGGGCTGCGGGGGAGTGGTCGACCCGTCCCGTCCCCACGCCACGAGCGCCGCGAGCCAACTGAGCCTGACGGAGCCCGCCCTGCCCGTGCGGGCCCCCCGTCCGCCCC